AGCCGCCCTCCCAAGCCAAGAGCAGCTAGCTAGGTCATGTTCCTCCTCTCCTTCAAACGGGGTGTGCACAGGAGTGGCTGGGGAGCCCGCAGGCAGCTGCCGGCCTAGTGTGCGGTGCTCCTGGGACAGGCGCTCGGCCACCGGCCACCTGAAGTCTGTCAGTGTCCCCTCCCCTCCTCCCTCCTTGCATGAGGAGCGAACCCCCCAGTCCAGGGTGGCTTTGCCACCTCCGGTGAGCCAATCCAGCACCCCAACCAGCTCTGTTTCCTTTTGCTTGTGTTTTAGGGGACAGATTTTGTTGCTTCCTGGGCTCGCTTGAAGATTTACTTTTCCTGATTCGGATTCAGTTTCACTTAACGCCGTGCACGCACAGCCTCAGCTCTCCCAGGGCTGCGCACAGGAATGCGTGCAGGGACCTTTATTTTTCTGAGGTCGTTGCCATCACTTTTTTGGCATCCGAACAACATGCGGTGAATCCAAGACGTAAACTACATCATTGTTTAGGCAATTTAAAGGAAAGAACATGTAACGGAAAGGGAGAGCAAGCCACGAGGAGTCGTGTGGTAGGAGGGGAGAGGCTCGCGGTGCTTTTATTGGTGCCAACTGCTGCGCTCTCCTAACCAGCGACGTCAGCGGCACGCTGGCCTCCCTCCAGGCTGTGCAGCGTGCACCACGAGAGCCAGCTCTCGGGAGGTCTGCTTAGGAATGTGGAGGACAAGAGCGTGCGAGGCTGCAGCTCTCGCGACCCAGGTGAATAAGGGCGGGCGAGAAACGTCAGCCAAGCTTAGAGTGGCTCTGCCAAACCTGAAGACCCTGAGCACGCCGGGTAAGAACCCATATGACCACGTGATCTTCTCTACCTCCTGGAGCTCAGCCCGTGAGCGCGTTATGATTCTTCCTAGAATTAAGAGGATGGGGCCCGAGCGGGGGATCACAGCCACAGTGAGGGCCACTGCGTCCCGAGCAAAGCCAGGGCAGGGAATTGGAGGAGCGGGCGCTGAGCCCTGCTTTCATCTGAGAAGGGGGTGGAAGGTGGAGATCCTGGGCTTCCACGGCGGGGACAGCACAGGTGCTAGCCACAGCACAAGCGCGGGCCTGGCCGGCACTGGTCATGCCAAGCTGTCCATGGAGGCGCAGCAACGTCCCCCAGACAGACGTGGAAGCCTGTCTCATACCCGCAATCAGAACACCGTGTGGCACCAGATGACACACACACCAAGGGAGCCGAGTCAGCTCTGGGCAAGGGTGGAGCTGGGCTAAGGACAGACAGCATGAATGAAGGACTGGCGCGTCCGGCGGGCAGCGCCGGAGCACTTGAGAACGGTACAGGAAGAGTGAAACCAAAGCACCGCTGCGCAGCTGATGCCAAAATCCACCCTGGTCTTAAATGAGAACAATAAGAAGATGCATGGCAGAAGATCTTTGTGTCTTGGAGTAGAAAAGAGTTTCTCGAGCAGGTTTCTGCTAAGAGCAGAAATCAAAAGGAAAGACTGGCCTTGGGTACCCCCGACGAGGAAAACTTCAATTCTGTGAAAATAGCATACTGTGAAAGGGACCCGAACCTGGAAAGCACGTTCATAAAACATGAGTCACCAGGACCATCTGACAGGATAACTTCAGCCACTGTGGCTCTTTTCATTAAAATCAAGTTCAACCTTTTTGTTGTTGTTTGTCTTTTTGAGACAGGTTCTCACTATACAGTTCAGGCTGGCCTTGAACTCACTTTGTAGCCCAGGCTGGTCTCGAAATCTCAATGATCCTCCTGCCTCAGCCTCCCCTCAAGTGCTGGGATTGGAAGCGTGCACCACACCTCGCAAAACCAAGTAAAATTTAGTATTTAATTACGCTAGACACATTTCAGGTGAACAGGAGTCACCAAGGCCAGGCCACTCTACGGGACACAGCTGACACCTGGTGCTTCCGGAGTACCAAAAGCTCAGTGGGTACTACCGATCTAGACCATAGGTAGTAATGCTACCATAGACAATTCGATTAAAGATGTCAATGGGGTGTTAAAAGATACTTCCCGGAGCAGTGAACAAAACCTTCACCAAAATGTACTATAAATAGCCAAGGTCCTCTCGATCCCATCAGTAATCGACACAAGCCAAACTTAACCCTTCAGAGCCACTTCAGACTCTCTGACTTAGCCAGGCTGAAAGTTAGACCCAGGCACAGAGGCAGCGCCAGCTACACAGGCAAGGCAGGGCTAAAGTTCACCCGGCCATCACGGCATGATCCCGAGTCAAGGAAAGGATCAGAGTACTGAATACTCAAAGCATCACATGGAAGGTCTCAGGAGAGCAGCCAGTGCCTAGCAGGTCCTGCTAAACAGTGGACGCCAGTGAGTCTATTAGAGAGAGGAGATTGTTCACCAGCATCACCATCTCCCCACTTGGACACACACACACACACACACACACACACACACACACACACACACCATCCCACCTGCACTTAGCATGAGGCCAGCGACAATGAAGTTGTACACTGAAGGCCAGACATGGTGGTGTGTGCCTGTAATCCCAGCAGTGAGGGAGGCTGAGGCAGGAGGATTACAGATTAGAGACCCACCTGGGCAACTTGGCAAGAACTTCCCTCAAGCTAAGAATTCATTTCAGGAATAAATATATATAAAACAAATTAAAACCTTAAAAATGCAAGAGAATGGCTACAAATATTAGAATAAGGTTAAGTCTGGGAAAGAAAGGGGCCCCCCTCCTTCCCTGGACTGCGGCTGGTGAGTTCCTGTCTTCAGCTGGTGGCGGCGGGAGACGCCCACCTTAATATGCTGCTTTATTCCATACATGCACGTTTTACACATGTCTTCTGTGTTGATAAATTTTACAATTTAAACAAAAAGCCTGCATAGTCACTTACTAGTATTTCTTTGCTTTGTTTTGTGATCTTGACCAAAGCCTTGCTATCGAGAGTTTTAAAGTAAACTCTGTCAAATTAAAAACATAGGCAAGGGGCCGGAGAGATGGCTCTGCAGAATAAGTGCTTCCCTGGCAAGTGCAAGGGTCTGAGTTCAATCCCTGTTCCACAAAAAACAAACAAACAAACAAACAAAAAAAAAACCCATAGGCAACGTACATTTGGGTCAAACTGATTTTGACAACCGGTGCCCTCAGTAGTCCTGGGACCGCGGGGTGCATGCCCTGTGGGCCTTGGTGTCTTCATCCTGGGGGGACGTCTCCTTCCCTACTGGACAGACACCTCCGTGATAGGAACAGAAACGGCTTCGCACCAGCTCGACTGGCTGCTTTCATTTTAAACAATTATTGTTTGTTTTTAAACAAGTTTGGAACTGTAGGCTTCCTAACCCCACAAGTAAGGCCATGCCATCAGGAGGAGAAAACAGAACAGCTTTGGCATCTGCAAGCAGCTGGAGGCAGCCCATGCACTGTATCTGTAATTCGAGGAAAGAAGTGAAGCTGAGAGCCCCGATCGGTGTCTCGGAAATGTACCAAGTGGCTTCTGGTCACCTAAGAGGTTTCTTCAGCTGTGCCTTGTACAGACACTTCTGCCACCAACACGCCTCCTGATTTATTGACCCCAAGCGCTTTCTAGCTTCCCGGAATAAAAGCAAGAGAAGAATCATGATGCGCAGACTCGGAGCACAAAACCAAGTGCTGCTTGCCACAATTTCAAGTCATTAGTTTAGAAGAAAAATATGAAGCTAAGCAAAATAGCATGCAGAGGACTACGTTAAATTTAACCTGTAGAAGCCAATAAAAATGTCAACGTCTATAAACAGGAATTGCTGGACTTCAAGAATAGGCCACAATAATTTATTATAAATAAAAAGCCTATAAATAACTTCACTCTCCTGCCACTCGCAAAGCTTTTCCTCCTTGTGTAGCACCACTTAAGTTCAGATTAAACTCAAGCTGTTCTCCATGAATAAAACAAGGGCCGGCTCTCAGAGTCCAAGTTGTACACTTCCCTGTAACTCCTTCTGTTTGGCGGGCAAGCCTGCTACAGTCTGGTTCTTAGCTTGGTTCTGTTTTGCTTTTCACTTAAGTTTCAAACTTAGTTTCAAATTACCAGTCGACAGTCACACTCCGTAATGAAGCTGGTGGATGAGCTGAAATTAAAGCCGACTCCTTCTTACCCCTCTTGTTTTCAAGCCTGGCTCAATTATTTATGGCCCAGCTCCCCGACACTGTGTTTTAATTTAGGAGGCCGTCTCTGTGAAGCCCGCTATAAATAAAGTAAATAGGATCTGGCCTCAAAACTTCTTGACAGAGCACTGTGAGAAGACAAGGAGGGAGGGAGCAAAAGGAGAACACAAGAAAAGAAGGCAGGAAGGCGCCTCCGCCCCACCAGCGTCCACGTAGGACACCTCCTGTTCCTCCGTTAACACAACACGCTTGGTTCTCACACCTCCTGGGGCAGCTTTTCCGACTCCTTCACTGGGGTGCACATGTCAGCCCAGCTACTCAGACAGCTGAAGTAGGGGAGCCCAAGCTCAAGGCCAGCCTGCGCAGCTTGCTGGGATTCTGTTTTCCAAATAAAAGAAAGAGGGCTGGGGACATAACTCAGCGGTAGAGCATTTGCCTGGCACACATGGGGCCCGGCTCCTCTTCAGGAGCAGAAAAGACAGCGGAAAGGACAGCTGCAACTCCGAAGGGTTAGCTGTTCACCAGGGTCACCAAGAGGAAAGCGACTTTGAAACAGATAGCAAATAAGCCTGGGTGCTTATTTTCTACATCAGGAGAAATAATTTTCAACACTTTTAGCTTTAGGATGTTTAAGGATTTCAGAACAAAAATGAATTAAACATTCACAAGATAAGTCTGAACTGCAGGAAAACATCATGTGACAGTTATCTGAAGGCTTCTGAGAACGGGAAGCCCGGGAGTGGCTGTGAGGGGTAACGTGGAGACCAGCACATGAGAAGACAGCACCGAGCACTCCAGCAGAGGTCACGGACGGCCGCGAGGAAGCCGCACGGAGGGCCGGAGCCGCCACGCCAAGGCCTCGGGGCTTCTTACCTGCTGAACTTCGCTTTCTCCATTCGAGACTTTCTCCGTATAAACAAAGGAGTTGAATATCCGCTACAACAACAAAAAAAAATGGACAAAAGTTAGATTTTCCAAACCAGAATGTCACTTTCTGTATATAAGAGTGAATATTTCGTTGTATAAAACACAAATAGAATCTAGTAGAAAAAACTTAAAGTCCAGTGATTTTACGGAAAGAAACCCAAAGAGCATCAGCCGGAATGAACCACACTTACACAAGCACGACCCGGCCACTCCTGTGGTGACAGAAACCAGATGTTATGCTACATTTTTCATTTTCAGAAATACACTTAATTACAGATTTCTGGAGCCCGTGCTATTTTATTGACGTATAATCTGATGAAGTTGTGCTTCACATTTAAATCCTGCATTCTATGCATGCTGTAATTGTTTACAGACAATAAAATTTCATACAATGAAGCTCTCTGAAAGGGTTCTTCGTACTCTCTCAGTTCCTCTGCAGCCAGGACCTGCCCAACATCACCCATCACCCGCATCCCTGGAGCTGGGTCCCTTGGGGCCGTCACCATGGGGCTCAGGTGAGGGTGGCCCGATTGGGGGTTGGTTTCCAACCTGCCTGCTCCCCCCTGGGCCCTGCCCGCCCCATACTTCCTCATCATTCATGGCAGGATGAGCTCGCAACCAAACCCCATCGCTCATGGGCAATCCCAAGAGGTGACCATGGGACCAAGGACAAAGTGAGACACCAAGTGATGAAACTATTAGAGATGGGGAGAGAGAGAGATGGGGGGAGAGACAGACAGACAGAGAGACAGAGAGATAGAGACAGAGACAGAGTGGGGGAGAGACAGAGAGAGATAGAGACAAAGACAGGAGACAGAGAAAGACAGAGAGACAGAGAGGCCCCATCATTTACCTTCAAGCCTTCACGCCCCCGCTGAACTCCCCGGATGAGCAAGGAGTCAGACCTGACATCCTCAGCCCAAGTTTCCCTTCTCCTTTCTAAGGGGCTGCCAAGTTCCTTTCATACCAGGGACCCAGAGCCAGACACACCTGCAGGTGTGGGGAGAGACACGCGCCAAGTCCCTCGGTCCCTGACAGTCCCCACAGGATGCAGTCGACAGCCGGAGCTGCGCGGTTGGCACAGCACAGCAGGGAGAGAGAGGTGCACACCGGGGGAGGGTGTGGTGGGACCCACGTGAAGGACAGCTCAGGAAACGGCGCTCCTGATTTCTCCTGGCGCTTCCCGCCACCCTGCAGGTGCCGACAGCCTCTTTCCCTCCTAAAAACGATGCTGCCGATACCAGTTTCATCACGAGCTCTAGCAGCAGTCATAAGGACAAGGCTGCCTGGTTTTATTGACTGTCAGTACGGGGCTGACGCTATCACGTGCCTGTGACGTTTGCTCGTCTGGGTCTTGTGAAACACCTTTCTCAGTGGCAAGGAGGCCCCAGCACAGCCTGCGCTGTAGACAGGGACTGGGGCGGGCTTACTGAAGGCCTAGTGCCGTGCGCACGCGGGCCTCCGCTGCGTATCTTAATCTTCATGCTAAGATTATTAACACTCCAGAGATTAAAAAAATGAAGGCCCAGAGAGGTGGGGACGCTTGCTCAAAATGACGGGGCCAGGCTGGAACCAAGCACGTGGCTTCTGTACTTGGCGCCCCTAACTTCATGTCTCCTAAGAATCTGCTACCTGATTGCCTCACACATAAGTAATTCTCCCCTGAGCCCTAACATCTGAACGTAACAATATAACCAACAGCCCCTGTGTGGATCCTAACTTTCAAACCCATCTGAAAAATTCTGCATGACATTTTTGTTTGCCTGACAGGACATGTGCAGAACTTCTCTGGTGGTCAATCCTAAGCTGGCTGGTGCGCGCTGTGGCCCTCATTAAGCCAGGAAACCATTCCGTGCCACACATCGCTTGATGCACCCGAGGACAGGGCTCCACTGCAGCGCTCTCGGGGATGCTTCATAATGGAGGGACACTGGGGCGCTGCGGCCCGAAACAGCTCTCCTTGGAAAAGGACTGTGACCCTCCAGGTGTGCACTGTTATGGCTTTTAAGCTCCCAGGTCCCCAGGGGCCGGGCCGATGTCATTACCAGCCATGACCCTGGAACACAGGCTGTATTGCTGTACAGTCTGTTCTTCAAAGGTGCTCAGCATGTCCTTCCTGAGCACTGACATGACCCCATGACTCTGGTTCTTGGTGGCCGCAGACAATCGCTTCTTCTGTGTTAGCAGTGACACTCGCGTGGACACAGCACTGATCCGGTCCAGCCCAGCCCAGGGAGGTGACGAAAGAGGCCCACGCCGCACGCCCAGCCAGCCACTCCCTTCCCCTTCTGCGGGGAGGAGAACTCCTTGGAAGTAACAGAGTTCATGCCAGGGAGGGATGGCTCAGGAGGCCGCTTCAGGGCCTCCTCGACTTATTATCTTAACAGGAAGGGTGGCTAATAATTTTATGCAGACTATTTTATAGGCTGTAAACACTTTTATAATCTGTACACCTAATAAATGTGGATGAGTAAAAGAAAGCTCTCGGCGCAGTCCAGAAGTCCTCCAAGTGAGGACGGTGCTTCTACAGAGGTGGAGGGCAGCCTGGTAGTCACGGTTTGCACTGTCACGGATACTCTCGCGGAGCCTTCTCTGTCCCCAGGTGACAGTACCGGGGGCAGCTGGGGTCAGAGCTTTGGTCACCGCTGGTGCGAGGCGAAAGGTCAGGCTGGTGTTTGTGTAGGTGACCTCCACAGCCAGCTGAATTCCCAGAGTCGCCTTCCCTACCTCGGGGCCTGCACGGCTCAGCTCCCAGGCACTCAGGACTTGTACAGCTCACAGTCTCAGAGGAATCAGCGTGCTTGATCCTCCCAACAACCACTTGTGGTGAGCAGGGCCGGCATCTGAAGCCACATTTTATAGCTTCAAAAACCTTGAGCCCAGAACTCAGAAAACATCCCAGGTCAAAAACTGAAATCTGAGGCTGCAACTGAGGTCTCAAGTTAAAAAGAGGCGTTGCTTTTAGCTGAGCTATTACATTTACTCACATTGCCTTTTGTTCTGGAGAGCTTAGGGATCCTAATGCCTGTATGGAGAAAATGTTTTTAAAAATTTAAAAAAGAAGATTTGGGCTTTTTCTATTTTAAGCAGGTACAACATCAGGAGCAATTCAAGAGTCCCAGGCACAGGTTTTATTTTTATACTTTCTATTGCTATGTGAAATTATACAAAAAAAAAAAAAAAAAAAAAAACAAAAACAAAAAAACCACGGTATCAGGGCTTGTTTTCAGGGAAGAAGGAGATCTGACAGCCAGGAATAAAATTCTAGAACCTCACTGACACTTCGGTGACCCTGAAGTACAGATTTTTCTTTGATATTAGAAGACCTGAAAGATGGAAATGTAAAAGTTTGCCTAAAATGTGAAAATCAGGCACAATCCTGAGGTGGGCCCCTCTGGTCCCCTTCCCTGGGGCCTCGGGGTGACAGGCTGGGGGGCACCACACGCTCCCTGCCCAGTGACCGCTCCCCGCTTTGGGGAGGCAAAGGAATCCCAGAAACGTGAACTCTTCCCCGGCACACACCAAGGGGCAGAAAACACCCCTGGGCTTCCGAGTCCCCAGAAGAGAAGCCCACGTGTGCGCCGCCACCCGGACTCTCGCTGTGAGGACGCTCCCCAAGCTCAAAATAAAACATATGCTTCACTGCATGGTAAAGAGAGCCTCAGAATAGGTGTGGCGCTTCAAGCAGAACTACTTCACGGAATGCTCCAGACTGCTTGAATTTATTTCCATAACGAAAAGAAAACAATAAAGTGTCCTGCTCTCCTGCAAACTATGTACTCTGATCTAAAGACAGAGCGGAGATTTCCCTCCTGTATGTACACACGTGGGAAACTGGCTGTGAGGGGCACCACTGGGGACACACAGAGCTCTGGCCCAGCTGTCCTTGTCCTGGGGGTGCACCCAACAGGAGCCTGGTCCACAGAAAGACCAGGACAGACAGCTCCGGGCATCCCTACTGTGAGAGCCCCGACCCCAGAAGCCGCAATGCTACCAGCAAACCAATCGTGGTAAATCAGCACGCTTGTGTCGTGGACTGGCAACAGCAGCCCACACAGGCAGGAACCTATCTCACCGCCATCTGGGTACCAAGTGTGTCACCTTGCTCATTAGGTTCAAAGCCAGACAAACAAGAGTCCCTCCTTTAGCAGTCCCAACAGTGGTCACCCTTTAACTGACTGCACAGGACATGGAGGGGCTTCCAGACGCCAACAACTTGTTCTGTGACCAGGAGTTTGCTGGCAGACTGAGAATTCCTCGAGCCACAGACACACGTTTCTTGCAAGCACACCACACTGTGCGCATGCGCTTCCCTATGTACACGGTACTTCACACGTGTACGTTCATATACACCTTGGGGACACTTTACACATGCTCCTGACAGGTGTGGTGCCGCACACCTGTCATCGCGGCACTCAGGAGGCTGAAGCGGGACTGGTGTGAGTCCAAGGTCAGCCTGACCACACGATGAGACCCTGTCTCAAAAAAGTACAATAAACTGTACTCTTGCACTCAAATATTTTCTTATGTTTTTTAAGCTGTGCATTTTCCAAAACAAAGAGTGGGAATCTATTCACTGGGCTATCATAAACTGCAAAGGAAAACATAAACCCCAAGCCCTAAGCGGTTCTAACTCAGGGCTTGGGGTTGTATCTCCAGGGCTGGACCAACTGGAAAGCTCAGCAGAGCTCTCTGAGCCTTCCCTTCGCCCGCGTCAGCTGCTGCCTCCAAGGTGAGCCGGACGCCGCTGCCTGGTCCTCTGGGGGCTCGCTCCGTGCACAGCGCAGGCTGCATTTCAGCAAGGAGAAAAGATGTCGTCCAGCCCAGGCTTTAAATGCGCCAGTGCAGTCGGCCCCATCTGCCCTTTGTGAGTCCAGGCTTTCGTTCCCTTTGCAGGCCTCCCTCCTCCCCACAGCGGGAGGCTCAGTTCAAGCCGAGCTGCAGCCCGCAGTTGGCTCTGGTGTCTCCTGCCTGCGACCTGCTGAGAAGGGAGGAGGGGACACTGGCCT